GTTTAATGTGATAAACATGCATATGATATCTATAATAGCCCATTTCTGATATCTGAAAAATCAGATTTGAATTGAATTCATCACACCGGTGCTCTGGAATAAATTAGACTAAAAACCATGGATGAAAAATCAAATGTATTTTCTGTATGTATCATAAATTTTGATAATGTGAATCACATTTTTTTCATGTTATGCATCTCAAATAGCAGACAAAAATTAGTTGCCAAGCTTTTCGTTTGAGAGGCAAATTTTAATGTGTCTCCAATATTCTCAGCACACGGAAGTTCTTTCTAAGCTTTCTTTGATTTTATTTAGCCTTCCATTTTATCCTAGTCATTATGAAGTCTTTAGGGGTCACAGTACTGATGTCAACGATTTTACCGTTCTCCAAGATCCAAGACATTTAGAGAGTTTTATACCCTAATTTTGTAATAGCTGTTAGGATTGTTTGTACATATGTCGTCTGGTCATTCTCTATATTTTGTGGACCCCTAGGAATACATACGTCGTGTATGCATTTTAGCAAAGTCTTTCTGTGAATGTTTGTTTTCAAAGTGTTTGTATTCAGGTCAGCGACAACGATGACACATAGGTCGGTCAAGTCTGTAAATACTTGTCAGTTGAACAATAACTGTTGCTTTATAAGATAAAGCTCTGACTGGCAAGGTAATCTTAGAAACAAAGTAATTCAAAGTGTGGTCAGCACTTATGATACTAACTTCATCTCAGTCATTAGATATATAGACCACGGTGATATAGTTGATGTCAGTCATCTCGAAAACCACAATCAATTCAATGGACAGCACAGTGTTTGTACGGCCTATCTGCGTGGGACACTAAGGACAACAGTGAGTAGGGCATCCACAATATCACTAACTCACTAGTAATTCTTCTAGGCAAAACTGGAAGGTTGAACTAGATGAACTAACCAGGCGATTAAGCATCATTCAAACAAGTTTGTTTATTGAATGAATTTAATTAAGGTAGAGATGAAGTTTACCTGACAGGTATTTTAATTAGTTAATTAGGAAACCAAGATGACCTCTTTGTCCACAAAACTATATTTTTTCGGAAAGCTTATTGTATGAATTTTAAAGTTTTGTTAGTATTTTATTTTTATGGACACTGTAGTTTGAAATATGCACAAACATGTGTCTTTTTGGTCAAAAGTGATTAAAAAAATAGCTTCTAAACCATGCTTGTGTTTCCTATCAAAATTGGTTTATGGGTGCATCTGTTTTGAAGATAAACACATTGTCAATCATCTGTGAAAATTTCAAAACAAAAGGTCAAAGCATCTAGGAGCTATTTTTTTTTAAGTTCTGGAATGTGCACTAAAAAGAAGCTGAGATAATTGCTAATTTGCATAAAAATTCACTCAGTAAGAAGTTTGCTAATGCTCATAATTAAAATGGCTGTTACAGTTTCAAATTTAAATGTTTTATCGTTCAGTAAAAAGTTAAATACAGTGCATAATATGGAGATCCCGTCATTTCTTTTTCTTAGCATGTTTTTTTTTATTATTTATGTACAGCCTTGCTAAATCTTGCGAAGCATTCAAAAGAGATAATTTTGCACCTGTTATCTATATTTTAAAATTTTAATTTTTTGAGTATGTTCCACTATTTACAATTCTACAATATTTCAACAGTCTATAGCCAATACTTTTTGGATAATAAAAAGAAAAAAACAATCACTCCAAAGTGCCCACGAACCTGCATCTCTACGTTAAATTATAGTACATTTTTTATTGAACTGATGAGCACTATAGGTTCTACTTTTCAGGCACATCAGTGCAAGTCAATATTTATAAATATAAAAGAGTTTTGAATATTTTAGTGATACTACTAATGTAATGAAATGTTCCCCAATTTCACTTTAAGCGTTCTTTCTAACACAGAAAATAGATACTGATTAGCATCCTTCATATGTGCATACAGGCTGGTGTATTTTCTCCATATTTGTAAACTGGGATCCCATAATGGCTTAATGTTTGTACGGACTAATTCACTTCAAGTGTAACTATAAATGAGAAGTGTATCACAATATAAAATGTAGAACTGTGAAACAACATAGTGGAAGTTTCAATCTAATCATTGTTAACAACACTTTTTCCGTTGCAGTTTTGTCATAGCTTTCACCTTATTTCTGATCTGATTATTAACAGGCTTAGTTTTGCAACTCTCACAGACTGAGTGCAAGAACTGATGCATTCCCGTCGTTTGATATGAACTCATGTCACAAACCGACAAGGGCCTCGTAAAACCGTAATTACAGATGAAGTTAAATTGTTGCATAAAAGGGCTGTTCACTCTGGGTAACCTCATTTGCATATTTGTTTGTTTTCTCAAAATGTCTAAGCTTGCTCTGACTTCAAACGAAGAGTGACTTTTTCACAGCCTTGTCGCTGAAACGGTTTATATGACACGCTGTTCGAGAAGCTCGATATGCCTTCGTCTACACTGAGCAAAATACTTGGATCAATGTTTCCCAATATAAATTCAATAATTCTTACTGTTTGTGTGTAATACACAGGTACTAAAGGATGTGGTGAATACACGACATTCACAATTACAATTGTATTTCTATACTAACAATATTTACAATACATGCATTAATACAGAATATATTTCATCTACAGATGAGCTACTTAACAGCTGCATGGAATGATAAGACTAAGTTAACATCAACACTAGTTTATCGTCATACAGTGTCACAGTGTATACATTGTCACATTATATTATATCATTATATCAAGTGATTGATATGCATAAGCAGAATCACCTGCAAATAGAATGATTTCAAATGTAGGTCGTTGCCCTTTAAAGAGTCACAGTGAACACAATCTAGACAAAAAGTTTAATTGTGTAAGAAGAT